AATAAGTAAATGTTGTTCAAATTATATCGTGTTTGATCTCATTTTCATCAGAAAAATCTCACCATGTTAACAAAAATTTCAGATGAAAAAAAGTAAAATTAAAGAAATTATATTTTTCTATTATGAATTGTCGAGCCGTGAAATCTCGTAAAAGAAACCGAGTGGTGTGGCGTTACACGCTTGACTGACAGCGAGCGAGATAACATAGGCGCAGCAATGACGCAGATCTAGGCGTAGGACCATGTATACTGACACTTGTAGAATCCAAACTGACTGACATTTGTAGAGAATTTACTGTAATCGCAAAATTTCTTGCGCGTTATAGGAATTCGCGTTGTACGGGAGTCTACTGTATTTCTACTGTATTGAGGGTTAATGTCGTTGTTGCTGGAATCTTTGATAAGGCCGATAGGCATTTAACTTTTGTTGGAAACATTTTCCGGTATCGCGATTACTTTCGGAAATATTCTCAGACGTCGATCTAAACGAGACATCCTGTTTTAAAATAATCTCACTTCTCTTTAAACTCGCGCTTATTAAATCGTGGGTGTCAGTTTACTGTATTATTTTTTTTTTACATTATAGTTCGTCTCACCTTTGTGTTCGTTGAAGTGTAATTTAAAAAAATTTAATTTTTATGTACGCGAACAATTTTTCATTTGGATCAGACGACCGACCCGTAACTTTTGTTTCTTATTTTTATCAATATAAATACGTCGGCATTGATTGGAATTTTAATATTACATTTGCTACATTAAAATGGTAATTACGGTGTAATAATAATTTCTTCTAATTACAATACGAGAAATTGATCTGCTTTTGGATCTTCTTATTTACAGCATTTCGAAGAAGATAAACAAGAAGGGTGATTATTTTCCAATTTTCGGAATATCTTTGGGATTACAAGTGTTAACGTATCTTGAGGCAGGCCGTAAAGAACATAGGATAAATTGTAGCAGTGACGGTCAGCTAATTTCGCTCAATTTTACGTCAGGTTAACGACTGAATATATTATATTTAATATTTCCATAACAATTTCTACTTCGTAACGATCATTCGTTGTAACAAGAAACATAATAATTTCCCTTTAGCCCTAAATTCCTCTAAGATGTTCAACAAAACATCGCCGGGGATCCTACACGTACTGAACTGTCAAGAAATAACAGGAAACTATCATAACCTATGCGTTACAACAGAAGTGTGTCACATTTATTAGCTTTGCAACGATATTTCATTTTGAGGTTATGATACTGATAGCATGATTTTGGTAGGGGTTACGTAACGTCTCCGTAGATAAGGAATATAACGTGCTGTCTATAAACAACGACTACAACGGAGTTGAGTTCGTTTCTACGCTAGAACATGATACATTACCGTTTTACGGCGTACAATTTGATCCAGTGAAAAATCTGTACGAATGGGTTAAGAGAAAAAATATCACACACACACAGTATGCCTATAAAGTAACTCGGTATTTTGGTGATTTTTTCATTAGTGAAGGTATATACCTATTCTGTATCGCTAACGTTCTTTTTTTTTTGTTTTTGAGAAAGTGTGAATCAGTATTAACATATATCTGCTTTATGTATAGCACGTAAGAATATGCATAAGTTTCCAACTAAAGAAGAGGCTGGAAGCTTAATTTACAACTACACGGTGACTTATACTGCACCGAAAATTGGGTGGTTCTTACAAACTTATCTGTTCAATGAAAACGATACGAATTAACTTATTGGCGACAAAACGGAATGTTCCATAAGATGTAAAGGTTCCATTGGAAAGAGAAAGATCGTTTTTAAAATTAAAATCGTTAAAATTATTGTCAATCGTTTACCGAACGCTTAATCTCGCAATTGTCGTTATTTTTATGGAATATAGGATTGAAGCATGGGAAATAATGACATCAGAAGGCAGGACATCAATACAGTGTTCACGTTTAACATAACACCAGTGTATATTCCGCCACAATTTATATACATAATAAAGTTCTACACATATTTCGTTCTATTTCAAGTTTTTAGTTCCTTCCTTTACCATCGTCTTTCCCTTGACTTTAAACATCAGAAGGAATAGGATTTTAGCATAAGTTGTGTAAAAATTATGTATAAAACAGATGAATCGAGAGTGTTAGTGGAAAAGTAAAATTGTATCTAGCATCTCGTTGTTTTCTGCATTCAATATGCCTTGCAAAGTTGCTTAAAATTAAAAGAAAACAGTAGGGATTGGTATTACCTTGTTGTTTTTTTAAAGCAAGTGTAACTTGTTTTTACACAAGCATGAAACTAAATCCCTTAAAGGCATGAACTAACTGTTAAACTTATTCTGTTAACGTGTAACATTTTTTTGCTATGGGGAAGCAACGAATCTTGCTACTTGCTTGTACTAAAAAATTCATCTTTATTGCCTTGAAAATTAATATTTAGTATTTGCTAAAATATTAATGAAATTTTTCAAAACTGGCATAGAAATAAATCGTACCTATGTATATATTGACAAATATAACATATTTTATTTTAATATTTTTATATTATACAAGATCTTGTAATATTTCACTAGAAGTTGGTTCTTTCAAACTATTTCAATGCTTAGACATTTATTAGAGGCCCATAGACCTGTTGTTCTGTAAAATATCAGAACTTTAGACTTTAAGAGAGCCTCGATTAATTATTTACCAAATGGTAATAAATAATATCTCTTACCAGTCGCCATTCGAGTGCAAAGGGTTAATAATAATAATAATAATGAGTATGTATGTCTCAAGATACCAAATGTTGCAAATGTCAATGTGAATGGTGAAAAGTTTTCTTTAATAAAACATTGGTGAAATAAACTTCGTTTATTTATGCCGGTAACTTGAGAAGCATTAGGTGAGATAAGTAGTACGATCTTTGTTCACAGCTCACAAACTCATGAATTTATAACATAATTTATAACATTTTACAGCAATAAATTACCTCATGTGGCATACTATGAAGAAAAAAAGAAGAAAATATATGGTACCATTTAAAAAGATGAATTTGACTTTGAAATTTCGTCCTACCACTCGACCAGTAAAAAATAATTTGCACTATACGGTGCACCTCTTCATACCAAACAACTTGTTCCGTCGCGCAGGTACGGAACGCGTGGGGTTTGCGTTGACCGGGTTTATGGCACGCTCGCACCAGAAGGTTATTTTTGAGAATAAAGACGCTTCGTAGCTCCGCGAAAAAATAAGTAATTTCTTACAAAACAATAGCTTTAGAATTTCTACTTTTCCGCGTCCTCAGTAACCGAAGACGTGTCATAAACCAGGGTTCCTGAAGGGTCAATCCGCACGTGCCTATAACGGCACTTTCGGCCGAGGGTTCACCTGGTGGGAATTTCCAACGCGTCACCGAAGGAGGCATAGGTATCGGCCCACTCCTTCCAAGGAAAAACGCGCTAAGGGCGCAATGTAAGGGTGGGTGACACTCAAGGGGCACGTTGATTGGTAATTCGTACTTTCGTGAAAAATCAGTTAGCGTGCCTTCTTGCACTTGGCGGGGAAGTCACTGTGGACTCCACGAAAAATCGGCGATCGACACGAGGATTAACAAAGATTCTCTCGAGCGATCAACAAGATACATCCGCCGATAATTCAGAGCCGATCACTAAAGTCTACGAGATCGAGATTACTTTCATTTTGTGCTCGACCATATGTTCTACTACGTTCGAGTAGAATAGACATTTAAATTAATTACCTATGTTGGATTATTTCTAACAACACCCTATGGAAATAATCAAGTGAGGACAAAAATGTCTCCGGGTTATTTTAAACAAAGGCACTGGGACTTCCACCAGATGCATCTGGTGTTTGTCTTCGAGTCACTCACTGCACAATGCCATACCATAACGTAAACAGTTTCTAGGTATAAGGGGACCCCAACTTTCTTTTGGGTGCCTAGAAACAGTCCTTCAGAAGATTCAATAGAGTAAAGACGTTTCCTCTGAGACCGTAAATAAAATCGTATATTACAAAGATAAAAGACTATTTAATTCCATAACCCATTTCCAATAACCTAAGATTAAGTTGGCGGGTAATAGTATTCGCGAGTGTACGTCGGTCATTCGTTCGGTACGCGACGCGCATTGAGAATACGACGGCAGTGATCCTTCGAACCGGAGCACAGCCGAAACATTTTTTCAATAGGTTCAGTCCTTTACGAGATAATCCAATTTTGCGAGATATAAGAAACACCCTATATATGTATGTTTACATGTACAATTAATTTTATACTGGAAAAATGCCAGGTCTACTAAATTCTTATTCAGAGGATCATTTAGAATTTGAAAATAGTCAAATCAGAATTTGACGAGCTGGAGAATCCAATGTTAAGATATTTATAACCAAATATTGATTACGATATACAAAGTGGCCATTTTGATCATCTTTCACAAAAATGATCAAATTGATTGTCAGAACGTAGTTTTGCTGTGTCTGGTTGTCAAATACAATACTACTTAGGCTGTAATTCAAGTAAAATAGAATATTTTATTTAGACTGGGTTTCTTTTTTTATTATTACTACATATATTTGCCTGTACAATAGTAGCCGTTGTATATACAACTGTAAGAAACTGTATAATTATTTATATTAATTTCACGCTTTCGTTATTTTTAAGTGTACTCCACCTTTCAGGGACATCATAAAAGTCAGTGGGTCACTTTTGTATGGAATTACGGTTTTCTCGCAAACATCGACTTTATAATTGCGTAGTATCGTTATCAGTCCAACTCTGGTTTGATAATTTGCAAAACGGGAACCTAAAGGGGGAAATTGTAAATTACATTATTTGTGCAACAATATTGTATTGTATTATCAACGAAACCATAGACGATTTTATAAAGTATTGACGTAAAATGATCAAATAAACGCTACTAAGGCACTTGTGTTTTTTATATGTTGATGCTTCTAATCATACCAATGCAATTTCGTGGTCCATCACCGAAAGGTAGATAACTCATGGGGTGTCTAGCCGCAACAGCGTCATCGTTAAACCTTTCAGGATCAAAAACATCAGGATTTGGGAAAATATCAGGATCCCTTTGAATTGGAAGTGTTGGTAACCATACTACGGTGCCTTTTTTAATAGTAATTTTGCTGTTTTTAAATGTATAATCCTCTGTTGCTTTTCTCGTTAACATCGGAAGTATTGGGTACTTTCTTAATGTTTCTAAGGAGAAAAGTAAATAGTTTATTAGCATTTGATTTATTAATAAATTCAATTTCATATATCAATTTTGAAAATTCATTTATTGCTTTAAATCCAAAAGAACTTTTTTTCAGTTCTAATCCTTTCCTAATTTTCAGCAGCGAAACTTATTTGTTGACTATTACTGTGTTTCTATCCAATTAGGTACATATGTATAATGATACTAGCAGATGGTATATATACCTTTTACCACTTTGTCCAAGTACTTCATTTCCTTGACTTGCTCGTACGTTATTGTTTTACCATGTTTCTCAAAACTTTCTCGAATTTCTTCCTCTACCTTATCCTGTATTTCATGGTTTTGAGCTAATTCATAAAGAGCGTGAGCCATTGTCGACGAGGAAGTTTCAAATCCAGCCGAGAAGAAGACAAATGCTTGTGAAGTTAGTAGCGCATCTGTCAGTTCTGCAACATGCAATTAATTTCGATTACAAAGTAATACTTATTAGTGATAAGCTTTCGAATAACAACAAACAGTTACCAGTAGTACTAGTTAATCAATTAGCTAAATAGAAAATTTTAATTAGTGTTGAGAATGTATTTAATATTAAATAGAATGATTTGATAAATAACAATAAATTACCAAATGTGTGTTAATTAACGAAACACAACAATTAAGGGGGTACATCATTCTGAGGCGTCTAAAAATAGGTATAGTTTGGGAATATTTTTCCTAGGTAACTGTGTACTAACTGAAAAGTTTCAATGTTTGCAGAGGATATAAATGAAACTTTCAGCTTTTTTCTTCAATTTTTAAAAATAAAAAGTGTTACAAAATGGGGGAGCTATTGCGAAATATTGATTACTGGCCACCATCATCGGCAAGGATTAGATCGTTTGAAATAAAAAATTTTGTAGTCTTAATAACAATTAATTACCTACAATGTACGGTACGATTTTTTCGATATGTCAATTATTTAATTTTTTAAAAACGATTAAAGTTGATTTCTTTTTGGTGAAAAGAGGTTCTTCCTCTCAAAACTGTGCCACCCTTTCTATAATAATTATAGATTTTTGGGAAAGGCTGCTAAACCATTTTTAATCAGTATTTTAAATAAATGGTCAGTAATACATCGATTAACACAAAAACATAATAATTTGTCAGTATTTTAAATAGATGAGCAGTGTGTATAATGAAATATTCTAACCTAACCAAAAATTTAAATTTTACTGATCAAAAGACAAATTAATACCGACCAATTAAACAAAATTGTCATGACAAAATTCAATTTAATACTGACAATTAATTATTTATACTTACCAGAATATTCATTTTTGCTGACTATTTATTTTAAAAAGTACTTTCCATTAATTTCAAAAAATACTGACCAAATAAATAGAAGTGTTTCGAAAAATCGTAAGCTACATTGTAGGTAATACATTTTTATTCATAAACCAGCAAGAATGTTTTCTAGCAGAAGAGGTTTCGCAATTAGCGAATAACACTTCCATTTTTTAACATTTCCACTTTTCAAAAATTGGACAAAATAGATGAAAGTTACATTTATATCATCAAAAAAATTCGATCAAGTTATCTCGTGCAATTGTTTTCATTTTATACCATTCACTTTGACATTATTACTTACAAATGGTCTCGTTAAAGCTTCCTTATATAAATCTGTTTTATATTCTTCAAACTTTTAATGTAAAAGAATGTTTTCATTCAATATTAGAAAATTATCCAGATTGTATATACGAAACATTCAAACAATCCAATCAGGTTACAACTTATTAACTATGTACCATTTTGTACATAGTACATGTATCATTTTTACTGATGTTACGTACGCAGACTATACTCTGTTCAAAATAAGAGTAACCTCGCTTCGCGCATAGGACGTGCCTAAGGCAGGGCTAGAACCACTAGACAGAGGCGCTTAACTTCTTGCTCACGAGCAAATTTCCCCTCCCGAGGTTCCCCCACTATGCGG